TTCATAACGTGTGGAACCATGAGATAGCACAAGTTATATTTAAAGGGATCGAAAACTAAACCATCTTTTTCTTCGAATACAACGTAGTCAAAAATAGAACACTCTACAAATAAAATTGAACTGAAAGCTCTTTAAAATGGAGTCTAAATTTAAACTGCAAAGTTAGTTCTATAAAATCTAAGCGCATCTTAGAGCCAGGAATTGCAACAAGTATGTGACAATCGATTCACGGCTGATCGAAGAACTCACTCAGCTGTAGAGATAATGGCTGAACCAGTTCTCTACTCTATTTATATTACTGAATAAGGTCGATATTTGAGATTATCTCGTTGTCGCTGCATTTGCATTGATATTAGTGTCTTTTGACGTGTGTGGAGGAAAATAGAGGGAAATGAAAATATGTAGTTGCTTGTTTAATAGCAATGCATAGACGTGATATAAAATCCCCCCTCAAAATATTGGTGGACCTTACTGCTATCTTCAAAATGAGTTGAAACGGATTTGATACCCAATTACCTAAATCAAGAAGTAAGTGTCAGAATCAGTACTTACAGAAAAGAGTATATTTTTTGCTTTGTAATATGTTAACTTCCTCAGATAGAACATAACACACATTACATAGTCGTTAAGTAGATAAAAATTCACGGGGATTCAAACATCATTTAAAAGCTCGTTATTCACCCGGTAGTACAGGAGACGTGCATTTTATTCGTATTTTTATTCGTATTTTACGAACTTCCCGCCAAAACCTCGGAATGCTCATACGAGTGTTGCCAGACTATTAATCTAGCAGTACTGGACGCGACCAGCAGCTGTTGCGGCTGACCAGAAACCATTGCTCGAGAAAAACTGGCAACACCCACTGGAACTTGCCATTCCAAATTTAAGAGTGAATTAAAACCTTTTTTTAGTTTTACGTGCATGGTATTTTTGATATAAGCACTAGTCGAAAAAATTTTACAGGCAATCTGGATTGTCTTTTCTTGTGAAGGGGAAAATAAACCAATGACTTGGATTGTCTGGAGTAGAATTCTGTGTATGGCAGCAGTTCTATCTCTTCGTTTGTTTCTCTGTGTGAATATTAATACGTGGACTTCTATTTACGCCTTCAGAAGATACAATAAAGGCGTTAATTATGTCAAAATGTCAGATCTAACTATTATAAAAACCACAGCAAATTTTCTTAACCTAATTATAGTGTTAATGAACTATGCCAAAAGTTATGTTAATTTACGCGCGTAAATATAAAAACAAACACAATACGGTCATTGCATAATATTTATACAAATTATAATTTTATACCAATATTATCTATGCCTGTCTACTTCCTTAACTCGAGGCGTGGGCGTGGTCTCACACACATGACTGGGAGAGATATTGAGTTCACTTCGCGAAACAAGTAATGTGTTATTGAGTCTTAAGAGTTTTGTCATAGTTAAGAAACGTGAAAAAGAAGGTACCTAAACAAAACAAAGTTTACTATCACATAAAACCATTAGCGAAATCCTTTCAAAAATGACCTCTATATGCGTATGTGTTAATATAAAGTGTTCCTTTATACAACACTGTCTTCTCTTTCCGGGGACATAGGGCTGTATTTGTACAAAACTTGAGTGAAAAATGTATCTAGTATCCAAGTATTTATTGCACCATCAAAACAATATTTTCAATTAAACTACGTGAATACGCTGGACCATTAACAACGCCACTAAAGTTCGGGACACACAGGGATTCGCGCCCGATTGCCAACGTATGGTCACTGGTCAGTCAATTGTGAGCTCGTAAACACACTGGCGGTGTGACACTGCGACGTCGACGTAAATAAACTGATGTACAATGTGGACTAGTGAAATATTCTGACTGACTACAAATAGCTTGATATTTATTGTTGAGATTTATGGATTTTTTCTTGCGGATTAATGCTTGGTCATGTGTGGTATCTACGTAATATGTAAAAAAATATTATCTGTTATCTAAAACATAACTACGGCGGTGACCAAAAATATGATTACATTATCCCTTTCACTAAAGTGTAGAATGGTATTAATTTTGATATTGATGGTTTTGATGCGTTACAGAAAGGCGATTTCTACAATCCAATCAAAGTGACCTCTCAATGATTCTCATAAAAGAGAAACAAGTATTCTTATGGAAAACAATTTACAATGACAATTTCTTTAAACCAAAAGTTAACTTAAACTGTCAAACACCAAGCGGTCACCGGTGACCGCAACCTATTGTTCTATAGTTGTGTCTACAAAACCGGTACTCGACGAGTTAAATAAAGCAAAACAAAACTAGGTATATGTATTTTGACTTGAATCCAAGTAGGTAAAAACACATTAACAGATCATGAAACATTAAAACATCGAAGTATAAAAAGTGGTGTAACATCGTAAATTACTAGCAAACATATCGCACTTATTTTGGTAGCAGCATTGAATCTGTAATACCGCGGCTGAGCCGCATCGAACACGCCCAATTTATGTGTTACGTGCACGAGCTGCAGTGCTGACCTCTGCATTATGCATCCTTTAAACTTCGCAACTTGTTTGCACGCTACCATCACTGCAATGTACACGAATTTCAAATGATTTGTCTAATGATCTGCGGTTTAGTGGGCGCCAGATCAGCGATGATTCACAACGTATTCTTTGTTTTATAATATCTAATATTTTACGTGTTAATAATTATTAAGTCTCTAAATGAGTAACATCGAAACAAACTTTAGCCTTTAAAGAGGAAAGGGACTCTGTAAAGTTTGTATACTATTCTAAGCCATCCGTTATTAGACATTCTAGTAACAATAAAGTTAACAAAAATAAAACAGTAGTTGAGAAGGCTATAGGCTCAAATCGTAACGTCTCCAAACTTTTTGTGTATTCCACATTCAATCCTTAACATAAACCATTTCAGGCCCGAAAACATGGCCGCACTGAATTAATAATAAGTCGAAGGCATTCCTCCAAGCCATGTATTGAAACACTCGGGATTTACAGCTTACGTGACAACACGAAATGCAGTCGAAACTGCACTACTAATAATAAATAGCGTGTTACCAACGCCATCTAGTATCGTGGCCCACAAACGTCAATCAGTTATTTATATAAAGCCATCAGTATTGTGATGTCTGTCAGTGCGCGCGCATCTCTCGGGCCGCGGCCTGCTGAAAACTATAATATCTGATGGCTATAAACCATTTACGATAGTGTCTAGCCAGATGAATTTATGACGTTTGCAGGGCTGTGCGATTGAAAGTTATTGATTTCAGTTTAGGAATAGTTTTAGTTTAGTAATTCTTATACTGGCGAAGTTTTTGAATCTTTTCTTATAAATAATGTCTGTCTTATTCTGAAATGGACTGTTTAAACTCAATGGAGTACAAACTCTCATTTTGATCTTATATATAACTAGTGACCCGCCCCGGCTTCGCACGGGTGCAATATGCATGTATTATACATACAAACCTTCCTTAAGAATCACTCTATCTATTAAAAAAAACCGCATCAAAATCCGTTGCGTAGTTTTAAAGATCTAAGCATACATACGGACATACAGCGAAAGCGACTTTGTTTTATACTATGTATTGATATTATAACTACCTTCATTATCATTTGAAATATTTCAGACAATGACTAACATTAATTTCATCTTACTACGTATGTGTCGTAAATTGTAACTGTAAGCTTTAAAAAGGATATTATAGAAGTACTTGAAGGATGCTTAAAGGTACAAAATGCCGATACCTCTTACATTGGTAATACTGTAGTAATACATATTTTGATTTTAACTATTTTGTTATAAACAACATATTTTGAACAACAAACAGCCCTGTATCTATCCTTTATGTGTTTTATCAATTGCATTTATGTACCAGCAATAGCAATATCAATAAACATCACTACATCATAACAGGTTGCACTACCAAACGTCTGCTGCTTTTAGCTCCAACTACTTTATTGCCATAGATCCGAAGATTGCTCATTGTGACTCACGCCTTATTATCCCTAACTTTCTAAATCTAAACTTTAATACTATGCGCACAAAGTTTAAAATAAGTTGTGATTTGTTTGATTAAGTTGGATGTAAAATGTGAAATGTCACTATAAAGTTGGTATAAAATAGATCTGTTAGATGGTCGTCATGTTATTGAAATTGGTCTCTTTTAGTGTTTAATACCATTTTGTTAGAGACCATTGAACACATAAAAGTTTAAAGTTATATTGTCTTCAAGTCTAATTGAGATGCTTGATAACAAACTATATGACCGATTACATTTTACACCCTTCACAAGTGAAGGAAATGGAGATAAGTCGATATGTAATAGTGGATGATATTCAGGAACCATATTGTAGATGCCGTCCACGACAAGTACCTTTTTTATAACGGGGGAAACCTTCAAAAGGCACCTAGTTTTTTTTGGGGATAGAAAACTAGTGAGTGTGGGATTCTTATCTCACTAAAACCACCCCGGTGGTCACCATCATCACCTATGGGGGCACCGAGTCCTCTATAATAGACCTGCTCTGGAACCCCCCGGATTCAATTGGAATTCTACGACAAGTACCTAGGTACCTGTAAAACGATTTTTTTTAAGGGGGGAAAATCATCGAATGACTGCTCCCGCCTGAGTGAGGCGGTAGGGGGTGTCAGACTCTTATTGACTAAAAAGCACCCCGTTCCTTGAACTGCACGTCGAGCCGGAGCCCCGGTAACCCGTTAGGTTCTCCGCGACTGTAAAACGATTTGTAACGTAGTTTATAGAAATATCAAAATTGGAGAGTCCAATTATAAGAAGTTCCTTAACGTATCGATGAATGTAGGTAGCTACATTGGATCGGATAAGAAGTTGGTAAAACATAAGATTAATACATTTAATAAATAGTTACAAGTAATCTCCTTTAGCAAATAAATGTCCAAGATATTGATTCTAACATAGTTACTAAGTGGTTTCTAGTTTTCTACCTACTCAAAAGTTACACTAAAACATCTTGTTGCAGGCAATGCTGTTCTATGCGCCCCGTTGGTTATGGAAATCCTGGGAGGGAGGCAAGATCCGTGCCTTGATGATGGACCTGGATGTAGGGGTGTGCACGGAGATAGAGAAGAAGACGAAGAAGAAGTTGATCCTCGACTACCTGTGGGAGAACCTGCGGTACCACAACTGGTGGGCGTACCGGTACTACTTGTGCGAGGGACTTGCTCTTGTCAATGTTATAGGTAAGAGATATAATAATGTTTTATTTTTAAGTAGTAAGGTGAATTAACTCTTTCCTGAGTAAAGTATTGTATGGTTTCCCGTGATAGGTCTGTAGCCGCTGCGGTGGTTGGTAATGGTACGGTCTCCGGTACGTTGAGACTGATAAGTAGCTAACAAAAAGTATAAATAATACTACATTACTTTTATTTCATTATTTATTTTAATACTATTATGTGTGACCTCCATTTTTCCCAATCCCAACACTATCAATTGTATTTTTATTGTCCATGGATAGATTAATACTATAACTGTTAAATAATGCCTATTGTTTATTTACCGAAAGTCGTAGTTTGTCTACCCAATTTGAAAAAGACATTTGTTTGTTTTACGCATCGTGGACCTAAACCGCAACTAATCAATATTCGATACTTCCACAAAAATCTAAATAATTCCATCACATCGAGAATTCTACATAACATTTATAGTTCCTAAAAGTGCTATTAAGACCTGTTTTTCCGTCTGAAGTACACAGCCTAATTGGGATCGACAGGAGGGACGCTCCCTAAACACGGACTTAGATTAGGCCGCTCCTAATACTAAAAGCGTTTTTTAAATGTGTCAAGAGTCTTCCCTTATCGCTGCCATCATTCATACTGATTGATTCTGGCCGCCATTTTTGTTTTAAATAACCTCAAATTTTGGCGGTCTTTTATTTTTGGTTAAGTGATTTCTAAGTTGTATTTGACGTTGACAGTCTCGAATAGTCGCTTTGGCTGCTGAGTTGTGGTATTGGGTTCGAAAATGTATAATTTTTTAAAATGTTTTAGTTGTTTGAGGTGGAAATTCTCAGAACTAACTAATTTGGTGTGTAGGATAGTGTAGATCGATGTTTACTTGTAGGTAACAGCCTCAATCATTATTGGAGATAATACCATAGTCGACATAGTCTACACATAATTAGGATACTTTAAGTCTATGAAGAACTTTTTTAACTACACGTTGATTGAAATACCTAAGAAGTTTATTTACATTTTAAACCTCAGAAAATTTCTCAATAGTAAATTATTCATTTATTAAAAATCTGTCGGCGGGAAGCATGCATCATATTTTTATTTGTTTGTAATTCTAAACTTACTTGAACAGCTATTTGCTTTCACTTCCTGTCGCGTTTCCAATAACAAAAGCCGAGTCGGCCGAGAGGAAATAATGCTGTGTGCGCGATCTCGGCCTATAAGGGCCACGACAACTGCGGAGAAGGAGCAGGCTTGTCTTATGTCTTAATAAGCATATCAGAGTCGTTGTTATTAAATAACTATTTTTTTTGACGTTTCTAACTTTGATATTTTCATATATTTTGACATTATATATTTTCTTTTACCTTAGACAGATTTAAGTGGCACTTTATACAGTAAAACATTGATTTATGCAATGTAACGTGTCATCATTCTCATATCCAGATTCGGTCTATATGACTGGGAAAATATTGTAATTTACTATGTACTAACAGTTCAGATAAGTCAATAACAATCACATTTATTCACTAGCACTAGACAAACAATAAAATATGGAACAAGAAATACAATACAAGCCTAAATCCTATAAAGAATACTAAGTGTATATCGCTACCATGTGGAACGTGTTTATGATAATATCGCGTCGTAACAATGAACGTTTACGCACCGATTTTGTGACTCGCAAATACATTGGAAAGATTTATGTCACACAATATTTGGCAGGTTTTGGCAAGAGTCGCTGTGCTCGTGGCCACACGGACCTAAATATGTTCTAACTGATATATCAGACGCACATCTGTCGCGCGCACGATCTGAATCCTGAACGGTGGTATCGGAGGTAGACGCAGAAGGGATATTTTGATTTTTTAAAGTGGACGTGACGAAAGACATATAATGTTCGCTAGATACAGTTTTTGTAAAAAATGACCACAGTGAAAAGAAAGCTTACTTAAATCAAAATGATTTAGAATTTTAATTGTAGGTATGCCTAAGTAGGTAATGTCTAAGGGAAACTTAAGAAACTTTTACTGAAGCATAAAATCATAGCAATACTTGATCAAACTGCACTTTCACTTTTACGATAGACTGATCAACTATTTCAATTATACATAGTCATTTTTAAACGTTTAAAAGTGCATTTCGGTTATATGTAGTATTTCACACAGGTCTAATCCATAGAACCAACTTCACCTATACCCAAACAATTCCATTTGAACTTTGAAATAATCAGATGTATTTTCTGCACGTTCTTGTCTGTTGTCGTAGGGTCCCACCGCGCCGATTGTAAATCATAACATATTGAATTAAAACGAGCATAAACCAAGTTTTACAGCATACTGCCCATTTTATGCCCGAATGTTGACCTGTGCCCCAAATATGCAATAAAAAAACACCATGCGTCACTTCTTTCGGACATAGTTTTAGAATTTCTGATACGATACAACTTTCGCTGTAAACAATATGGTATTGATCCGAACGATGCTTGATTTGCCTTTTTATTAATTTGAAGACGTAAACCGGCTTAATAAGAGGGCTGCCCATTAAGGGTAATCAAGTAGGGTCGTCCTGTCATGCGTGTAGATTCCTTTTTTATATCGGAAAATTTACCAACGAACAATCTTTTGTCAAAAAATAGAACTACATTAATTTGTTACAATTTATAAAAAAATATGTGTTTTATCCCACATTTTTGGTGTTTTGGAGAATATGTAGTTTTTGTTTCTTATCTCACTTGCTGTTGTTTTGTTTCCAGGGCAAATGTTCCTGATGAACCGTTTCTTCGACGGGGAGTTCATGTCCTTCGGGCTGGACGTCATCAATTACATGGAGTCAGATCAGGAGGATCGCATCGACCCCATGATCTACATATTTCCAAGGTACCTAATGTAATTGAGTTAATCGTAGACTAAACACATAAAACGAATCGTTTGATTTGATTTTAAAAAGTTTATTTTACTTTCATTATCAAGGTCTACACGATATGCGTTGTACAGGATTATGGCAAATTTGAATGTGTTTACTAATATGTGTATCTATTATGTTGTTTTTAGGTAGGTAATTATATCAGCACATTTATGACAATTTTTAATATGTTGCGTCTACATTCCAGGATGGTGAAGTGCACACTGTTCAACAAGTTCGGCTCGTCAGGCGAGGTGGAGCGGCACGACGCGCTCTGCATCCTGCCGCTGAACGTGGTCAACGAGAAGATCTACGTCTTCCTGTGGTTCTGGTTCGTCATCCTCGGTATCCTCACGTTCATCACCCTCGTGTACCGGTTCATCATCATCTTCTCGCCGCGCATGCGCGTATACATGATGCGCATGCGCTTCCGGCTGGTGCGGCGCGACAACGTGGACACGATCGTGCGGCGCAGCAAGATGGGCGACTGGTACCTCCTGTACATCCTCGGGGAGAACATCGACTCGGTCATCTTCCGGGACATCATGCACGAGTTCGCGAACAAGTTGAACCACAACTACCAGCACCACATCCACGGCGTGCCGGACGCGTGACCTCCGGTGCCGGGGTGGGTGTTCCACACGTGACTGACGTCGCTGCAGCGCGACATGCTGCCGCCCGCCTGAGTGCGCGTGCGCCGCCTCGCCTGCAGTACCCCACGCATGTTCTCTTCTGGACAATACTAACGAGTGTAAAGACTACTTTTATCGATACTTTTTAATCGAAATCGTAACAGTGCAATTCTAAACATGCAATAATAGTTTGTACTTAATCTTTAAGAACGTGATCTCAGGACGAATCCTATCGAAGGCCTTGTAATAGTTAACATCGACGGCTACCCCGTTAGTGCTAGTATACTTTTAGAACTATTTTACTCATAGTCTCGCTGCTCGTAGTCAACTGTTAATCGACGCTTCCTTTGTTTTCTACTTTAGCTGTTGTAATGTGCACACACACACACACACACGATATACAATTTTACACGTTTCACTCGCCAAGGATTTGACAGACCAAAAAAATTAAAGCAATAATTAATAAAGCAATTAAGTATTATAGTGTAGTTGTAATTGAGGATATTACTAGTAGGAGGAACAGTTGTTTAGGGGAGGAGTAAGTACCCGCGTAGTAAGGTCACCGCCAGTTTACAGTCACGTAGCTTTTGCGTGTCAAAAGACATTTACGTTGTATGCAGACTTCGAACGAACTATTGAACATAATCAATAAATAAATAATATATTGATTCCAGCTCCCGGTCGTATCATATTAGTTATTGAATACGATGTGAGAGCTACTTCAGTCGGAGAATTTTGAGAATTTCGCAGTGGGATGTACATCCCGTGCTCATGAGTTGGCTGGGAGAATCAGAACACAAGTGATACAACCACAAACGACGGACCCCGCCACATTTAGCGCTCAAATGTAAAGTTACTATGACGAGAAGCACACACTGCCAACACTAACAGATCACATAAATGTTCACTAAGATGTGTTTGAAAATCATTTTGTTGTATCTCTATTGATTTTATAAAACGGAGCGACTGAATTCTTATAATTTATTCGATTAGATGATATTATTGATATTTTGGTTGAAGACGTCTAAACAATATTTTGAATTATAACATTCTTGAGACGTTATAAAACCTATGTGTTGATTAAATGTCTTCATTCAAATGTTTTAGTAGTAAGCTTGCAGATTGAAAGTATAAAAGACAGGAAACTAAAACTTAACTTGTAGAAATAAAATGTTAAGGTAATTTGTAGCTAAGTTAGGTGACAATAAAGTCTATATTTACTGTTCACTTTGAACCTGCAAGCCTATGACGCTATTTAGAGAAATTTATTTGCCTAGAAGTAGGCTAAAAACTAATATTGTTACAAACAATTGTTGTATTCGTGATGATTAGAGGTGTGTCAGTGTTACTGGGCTGTTTGGTCTCCAAAAAGTAACAACGGACATTATTTGAAAATACACCTTAAGATTTAAATAGTTGGTTCGAACTTTGACTGCAAGTGAGGTGCAAAATTGCGATTGTGATGTGATTTTTGGACAATTCATGTGAAGCTGCATCGAGCAAAAAGTACAGTGATCTTGCAGAGTTGTAGTTCAAGAACCGACTTAGTCTTCGAATTGTTAAGGTTCATAATACATTGTTGAAAGATGGTTTCATATAATTTTTGGAGACCACATAGCCTTAGTTAACAAAACACGTAAATATTGTAAATGTAAAGAGGTTGTCTGGTTGTAAAGATGTAAAGTGTTATAATTTAATTTTTATTTGCTGATGTGTTCGGATACAGCCGTTAAAGGCTCCAGTTATTAATCAAATACTAGTTACTTTCTAACGCCCGTATTCGAATGATAAGATAAAAAGTCTCGCATCTTATTAACTCTTTGTATGAATAAGAAATATGTATTATTAGATACAATTTTATTAACTTAATCCTCAATGTATTCGCAATTTAACCAACACGTAATTTTTATACACGATACAGTAACGTGTTTCGTACTGTGTTACGCAACATGTAATGCAACGAATACGGGCGCAACAGCAACACGATATTGCAACACTTAGTGAACCATGCCAAATATTGTGCCAAAACATTATTCCTAGAAGTGTTACAGACGAAGGTTACCATGGGAGATATCGAATAAATAATTATGAAAATCAGCTACATTTTGTTTTAATTCCTGTCAAAAAAAGTCAGAATCATTTATTTCAATTAGACTAGGAAGGCACTTTTGAACATCAAAACAAAATATTTAAATATTAAATAATGAAAAAAATGTCAATCTGTAGGTCAGTCCTCTAGCGTAGCTATTAGCTCGTTAGAGGTGTGTTTATGTGTAGATTCCTATGGAGAAGAACGAGCAAGAAACTCCATAGGTTACTTTTTTTCAATCAGGTTCACCTGACACAATAATATTGCATTTGCTGGGCAAGGGCGTCGGGAGCAGGAAGCAAGGGGATTCACCAGCACTCCTAGAGAATTGGAAACCCTTGGAACCCTTGGAAATTAAAATCCAAAATATCTCGAAAACTAGTCAAGGAATGGAAACTCAGATTCATAATAAAAATACAATTTATTTAATAAAAACTAGTTAATAATGTTTGGTGATCGAAGTCCTAGAACAGAATGAATGTTTCTAATAGACATTACAAATAATTGTTTGTCAAAATAGGGGTGTTATATTACTTATTGCGAAAGAGGTAAATTAATGTGTCAGCATCATTTGTTCCAAAAAGATTATACACGTGTTTGTGAAAAGATTCTAACATGTATAACATAACATAACATCACGCCTTTAATCCCCGACGGGGTAGACAGAGGTGCACATTACGGCACTTAATGCCATGTCCCATGTAATAGGGGGTGAGCCTATTGCCATATACCAGGCACATTTCCAGACTCCGTGCTACTACTGAGGTTTTTACAAATCCAGTAATACTTTGCCCGACCCGGGAATCGAACCCGAGACCCTTTATCCGGCAGTCGCACTTGCAACCACTCAGCCAACGACGCAGTCGACTAGCTACAGTACAGCTACAGTAGCTGATTTATATACCTACTAATTATGTTGCTAAGATGTATTAATGCTGACAAAACATATATCTATATGGTGGGGATCCTTAACTAGGTCCTAGCCAAAAAATAACCAAAATCTCGAACCCCACTACGTGCCCGCACCCGCTGTTAAGATTTATTTTTACAATTAATGAACTGTGTGGAAATTGGCTTGGTTGAAATAGAATTCAAACATCGAGACATGGATGGAGTGCACAGGGCAGAACTTTGGACCCAAATTTTCACCTAGGCCTAGGCCCTAGACAAAAATAGCAGAAAAACGCTTGCAAAAATGCCAAAAAAAACTTTCTTTTCATCCAATGAATGTTTAAAACAGAGAATATACAGATTCATTAAAATGTAGGACAGTTAACAAAGATTCCACGAAACGTCAACACAGCAGTGTTCCATGAACTCGTAACTGCATTGAAAAGAAACACGCACGAGTGAGGCGATGAGCCAGAAACACTGATAAACTAATACAATGCTGGGTTTGATTCCACCGTATACACAGGTTACCACTACTCATTCAATGTATGTTCATTAATTTTAATATACCTAGGTATTTTTACAAAGCTGGATGGAGGAAATGTTATGACGGTGTGTTTTCTAATAATAATATCCAATTCTTATGCACAATTACAGAATATATTGATACCCAGGAATATATATATAATCTATATTTAGACATAAACTAATAATAAATAACTTGAGCTAAGATAAATAAAATTTAAAATATTTACGACTAAAATTGACATAAGAAATATGGAAAATAGGATAGGGAAAAAAACAAGAAAAACTAACTTAAAGCATCAAAAAACATTATCTTCATCATTGTCATGAGGTAGGGTGCCCACAAGACTGGCAGCATTGCCATGTTGGATGGCAATGCTTAACCCTTCAATAGAAATTATTTTATGAAAAGCTTTTCATTTAATTATTACTTAAATCTTTTTAAGTTTTTTACATAACTTAACATAACATAACATCACGCATTTTATCCCCGAAGGGGTAGGCTGATATGCACATTATGCCATTGTACAATGTAACACCCACTTTTCACTATTTATGTTATGAGTCCCATGTAATAGGGGGTGAGCCTATTGCCACATACCGGGCACAATTCCAGACTCCGTGCTGTTACTGACATTTAAAAAAAAATGTCTTATTATAACCTAGGTTCTGAGAGGGTGACAAAATAAAACCAAGTAAATAAAAGAATAATATTTGTATAATTCATCTGAAAATGAAACGCCGCGTCTTCTAACAGCTATACTTACAAACAATTACTGTTTACGTACGTCTAAATAAAATAATCACGATATACTTTCATGCAACTTTCTTTTATAGGACTAATAGACAAGCGTGGAAGAATCATTTGAAGTATACGTTAAAATATCAATACTAATGCGATAATGTCAAATTCGTATTAATATTTTAACAAAAAATACAATTTCATTGACAACTGTATAGATTTTACACCATCTTTCATAAGAAAATCCATTCATTCTGACAAAAAGTATAATTTGCAAAAAAAAACTAAAAGATGTATACGAATTTAACTTACAAAATAATGTCTTAATTCGAGAACATATCGTACAGAGTATATAAATATTAACACAAAGGTTTTAAACTAAATATAATAAATGCTTCATTCTTAATTTTATTCTAATTTTCTTAAACAATAAAAATGTAGAACATTCGTGATGTATTTCCAATATCACTTTTTCATGACACGCGTTACATCATAAAATAATCTAAAAAGGCGCCAAATGGACTAGGGTTGTCACTTAAAAAAATAGCAATGAAAAGTATAAAAAAATCAAATTAAAATTAGGAGAAAATATTTTTTGAGAATGGCAACCTTAGTCCATGGTGAGAAACAATGATTTTCATTTTTGACAGTACCGTAGCTAGGAATTTGGACGCTCAGTTACCCCAGGCATGAATTTCACAGAAGACTTTTCACATTTTAGCAAAATTCTTGCCGCCTTGGTCTCTATTAGCACCATCCTAGTCACGGCCCTATCTTGAACACAACCTATTTCCTAATTTTTTTAACTAAAATTAATCGTCTGTTAGGAACATACGTTTAAACTATTAAATTCACTATTTACATACTGTCTGTAATCGAAACACTACTGAAAAACGCTACAATCTTTGTCACACGACTTTTTCCCTCATACCTTAGGTTAAAGGCGTCTCAATGTGGATATTTGCGTAATTTTCAGTATTAAAAACTAAGAACGTCACTAAAATAACTCGTACGTTGTGTGCGCAAATCGTACGTAAAATAATAATAGTAATGTATATTAAAATTACTAAATATACAGATATACTTCTTGTGATCCTGATATTACATATATATGGCATTTTCTTGAGCGCATCGTAAGGCTTTACTTATTCTCTTATACGTATATATAGTAAAAAGTTTGAAGTGTTATCATGAGTGAAATTCAAGTAATTTCAACTTTATTTACTTCTTGTCTAAGTCGGTTTTTAAATATTAACAGTTTAACAACACGTTTACTTGATGAGATGAGATGGAGCAATGATGTACTCCCTGGCACATTCAAGAAGAGAGCCTTCGTTAATGAGAAAATGATATCATATTAAAACTTAACAATTCATCTAAAAAGTCAACTTTTAACGCGCAAAAGAGCTAAAATGCTAAAAACAACTCCAATATAGAGGAGTTTATATTTTTTTACGAAAAATGAACACCGACAGTCAGAGGATCACAACACTAGTTACGATTAGCATGGCCCCGCCACATGGCGACACCATTGCGAAAAAACTAAATGATATTTTTTCACACCGAAATTTGTAAACCTAATTACTATATAATAAATACACAAATAATACAATATCACTGACTACATACAAGTATAAAAGTTGGAAATATCCAAATACAAAGGCCGTAGACACACAACACTTACTTATCCGATATTTGACAGTTACACAATTTTGTTGGAAACCATACAGTCCATACAAGTTCACACATTTTCATACAAGTCTAATTAGTTAAGGCCATACATTTCCAGTCCATATGATCATGTCAGTGCTTCTCATTAATAGATACTATACAAAGTTTTTATAAAATCTCATATGACGAGATTTTAAATTTAGAGTTGCCAGTACAAAAAATGTTTATTAAACAAATGTTGCTACACTAAAAAATAAAAGGTTTGTGCTGTAAATTGTGATGGTCATTTTGATGTATAAAAGAATTTTTTTATATGCAATCATTATTTAGATTAAATTCAACTAATCTTAAAACAACTGTCGGAGTTTGTCAAACTTTGAAATAATTGTAAAGATAACCTAAGTAAAAATAACTACATGATATGCATTAAAAATTTTTACTTTTGTAACAGATCTTATTACGATACAGCTAACAGATTATAATTCTATTAATTTTGGTAATACGAAAAATGTGATGATGGTATATATAAAAACTGCCGAATCATTTGCTGAAGTATTGGTTCATTACTTAAAATGATACTTTTCTACGGAAAATAATAACTTGGCATAATGAAATAACAGTAATGTGTCGTAAAATCCAGTTTTTGCTTTCTCCAACTATCAGATCTAAGTAGAGACAGAAAAAAGTTAAAATGAGTTTCAGATCTGAGTTTAAATAAGTGTAAAATATCTGAAAAAAAGAGAGAACTATTTAGAGATTTCATTGGCAGTGATGTCACTAAAGGCTATTATTGTTTGTAGCTCAACTTGTTTCTATCACTGAAATAAACAATGCCTCATATAAAAAAGATTAATTGTTAGAATTATTAAATAACATAGGTACTATTTCGTTGTTCAACAGGCATCTAAAGACATATCAAAATAAAAATATGAATTAGATCTGTAAGCTTAAAATATACTAGATAAAATCAGATTTTCTATAGAGATTTCTTGTTTTGTGATTCCATGTGTAGTGATTTTAGAATATTTCGGACGAATATACATTAAAGTAAATCGCACAAACTAATGAAGGTTTTCGCGCCACTAGAGGCGCTGATATAGCTTAAGGGCTATGGACCTTTGATCTTTAGTCAGTCAACTTGTCAGATCAGCTGATTGGTCGAATAGATTCTCACGCCACTAGCACCATCTAATATACGCCAAACGAAAACCCTCATTGTTAATATTTCCAGACGATATCTGGACAATCAACTAATTTATGGCCATTAGCTTTTTTAAATCTCTTATTTATACATTATAGCATCTATTGCGATGTCCTAAGAGTATTCTACACTATAAGTAGGTAATGTATTTCACGCCAATATAGACAATTTGAACCTTATAAACTTATGAATAAGGTAAATTCTATATTGTCGTGAAACGCATTGACTATTTTTATTACGAAAATCGGGCAAGTAATTGACTAATGTCGACTACAGCTGAAAAATATTTTTAAATCTATTTGAAATAGTATTAGCCATTAAAACTAATCCATTTTATATAAAATTGAATCGAGCTGATTCGAGTTTTATGTTGTATTCTTGTTTTAATTTCCATTCAAAGTCAAACAAGCATTTACTTTCAACGTCAAAATAGCATTGTCCGCCAATCTATCGTTATAAAACTTACAAAATGTCAAGTATTATTTCAAATAGACAACTTTAAACTTACTTTATTTTCACCTCTGGATAAGTTAATTTTAGCACGAATTCTATTTATATCTGCATAATAAAACTAATAATCAAAGACAGCATAATATAAAATATACTTAGCTGTAGAAATGTCAAAATTACTATTGAAAGTGTTCCCAAGCCAAACACTGCCAGTATCTGTTTAAAAGACCAGGTCTACTAGTCTATTAGACCGGTCTACTTTGGAAAAGAAACCTTAAACTGCCTAGTTTTTGAGCGTTGAAAAATTCGAGTAAATTGCGTAAATAAGGTACTGAAGGCGGATAATGACGAAAATATATGGAATGTCTTATATAGAGATATTTTAAGGTTTTTATATGATGATAATTTGCCTGTTAGGTCCTGTGATGTCCAGTGGTGGGGTTGGGAATGTGGGAGGAGGGGAGGCATGTGTCAGACGCCTAGTACGGCGACGCTGGGCGACGGCCGTCACGCACGAGCTCCTGGCTTCTCTCCCATGCGCTTGGACAGCTCTGAGATTAGCTCCCTGTGGAAACAAAATATGAATTATGTAGCGATATTTATTGTGTATAAAGTTATCGTAACAGAACTATTAATTGTAAAAAAGATGTAATTCTAAAACAGTTCACCTCATTGATGAATTAAAAAAATGAAGTCTATGTCAAAGCATTTATTTTTATTAACTTAGATGACTTCATAGGGGCTGACTGTTGTGACGGTGATTCTAATTAACTTTAATAAACACAAAAATTTAGAACCTTAGAGACCCTTTGCGCAAAAAACGAAGTAAGAAATATAGCCTAAATTTTTATCGAACATAGTACAACTATTACCTGTATATAAGCGGGTCCATGTTCCTGGCGAGCATGTAGAGCAGCCACCAGTCCCCGATGTCAGTGCGGCGGGAGACCAGCACGGCGGTCTCCATCGCCAGCGTGCGGGACCGCGCGTGTAATAAGCGGGGTCGCACTGATGGCACGAAGATTATCACCAATCTGGAATTAAAGGAAAGGTACTTTAAAACTTGTTTGGTAGTCAAATTGTTATTTTTCATCGTGTTAGTAGAACGGAACTCTGAATTAACTCTAAGAAGCAGTTAATTAATCCAGAACTAGGACAATGAGGCAAAATTTCATTAAGACCTTTAAATGCCTAACTAAATTACACCATCATAGAAATAATTTAGACAGGAATCCATCCAGTTATCCGTCCGAGTATCAACCTAGTTTAGTATCCATTTTCTTTGCGAAAAAGTGCAAATTAAATTAAATTTTGTGTTGTTAAAAATATTATCTTGACCATGACGATGATATGTACTACAACCTACAACAACAATTCTACAAGCTTTATGTATATCACAGCCATGTATGTTACGTCGTGCCTTATCACCGTGCATGCCACACAGACACCTGATTACCTGTGTACAAGGTACAGCTGATAGCGGCCCTTATGTCATAATTATCATAACCACCATGAAGAACTCTGTCATAATATACCAGCTTTGTGTCATTGGCTATTTATAGAATAAACGAACAGTATTGGAAGCTGCGACGAGTGTACGATACAGTGCATTCGTTCAATACAATTTTTAATTAATACTTTTTCTACTTCTACGACATTGTTTTGGTTTAATCACTGCTGCTGGTCATTCATGCTACTGTAATAATCTTTCAGGAAACAAAATGCATGATACTGAAATACTATCTTCACTAGCAATAAATTCTTATATGCAGTATTTATTATACTTTAAAATTGACATTTAGTAACGGTTATTACATAAAGCCAAAGAGCGCGATGTGTGGACATTACGAATACCATATAAACCCCATCGAGTTACCATTTACAGAAATCACACTTATTTGAAGTACTTGTTAGTTGTTATCGACCCCGAGGAGTATAATGTTCTTCATCTATATGATCACCAGAAAGGGAACATACAGTTCCTCCACACCTCATTTAGTTAAAACGATAAAATCCACGCATGTCACATAAAATTTAAAAATCAAGAGACTAGATACCATTTGAGTGGGCTAAGGATAGAATACAAAATCTCCTGCCGGAGTCCCATATCTTCCCTGTTTATATCCAAACCCCGATCAAAGGGTAAACCCTATAATCCTGGCTCACCTGTATATCACAAGAAGGCTCAGCACGACTGCTAGGATGATGTACCAGAACCACAGGAAGATATACGTCTTTTCATTCACGATGTTTAGCGGTAGGATGCACAGACTGTCGTGAGTTTGAATACTGCCTGATGCACCGAACTTGTGGAATGTACACTTTGTGATGCGAGGGAATATGTAGATCATTGGATCATATCTGGAATTTGAGAAAGAAACTATCGTTATTTATTCGTTACAAACAATTTATAGAACAACAACAATAAAGAGAGAAGACACATAACAAAGATTTATTATTTTTAAATATTAATTTTTAAGAAAGTTATAATCATGGTTAACAAACAAATACCCAGATGTCATTTCAGACAGTAAAGTGTTTCATCACTAATTTAGGAAATAAGTTATTTGTGTAGGCAGTGTTATACAAACAAATATCGTCCACTCTGTCATTTTACAAAGAATTTGTAGCGACAGAACTATACTTAAGCGCGATTTATAATTGAGTAACGTTTGGGTACTTATTATATAACGGATTGTGAAACGATCGAGTATGATGGTTACAATGGCGGTTTACTATATTTTTCAACAATGTGAACAATATTTGACTGAACGGTTGGCGCGGTGGCTGGGTAACTGGCTGCCTCGCAACGTGTCGCGGGTTTGATTCCCGCACGTTACAATTCTGTCTTATCCACAGGTTGTTGTTCCGAGTTTGGGTGTCATGTGTATGTGAAATTGTATGTTTGTAAACTCACCTACGACACAGGAGAAAATCCAAATGTGGGGGACGTTTCTTTAAAAAAATAACAAAACAGAGAAGAGTTAAGTTAAGAATGTTTAAAAACAATTGAACCTACCTTTCTTCTTGCGGCACCTCGCTGTACCCCAGCACCCTGGTACCATACGAAAAGAACTCTCCGTTGAAGAAGCTGTCCATCATCCAGAGCTGCAGCACGATGTTCAGCAGACACAGGAGCTCGCAGCCCCAGTACCGCAGCGCGTACAGCTTGTGCGTCTGTAAGTGAAGTTGCTAAGTTGAATATTTTGGAACCGAATAGAATTGTTATGTGATAAGAAAATCACTTCTGCTATTATAATTTAAAAATATTTTCCAATTATGCCATTAGAGTATTAATAAAATCTTTTCAAATCCACATTAAGGTTACTTAAGACTATAACTACACACCATTAAGCCTATGAGACTCTTCAAATATTTTTAAAATTCAAAAGTTTCGCTACGTTATTGAAAAGCCCTATGAGTTTCAGACATTAAAAAAACATTAGAAAAAATCTTTATCTAGAGAAAACATATCAAACATATCGTATAATACGTACGGCAAGGGTTTCATAATTGTCACCTACAATTTATCAAAATCACATAATCTGTTTTGAACCGATACTCCACTTGATGGTCCGGAAGTGATAATGACAATGTCCACTTAACCGCTGGTATCAAAATACCAGAATACTCAATTTCCACTCGAACAGCTCATTGTTGTGACTGTATTTAAACTGTAGGTAACCATGTTATGACGTATGGTGAAAGAGAGACCCCTAACAAACTAGGCTGAAAACAATATTAAAAGTTTGGCCTCAGAACTAATCCCTTACCTATCTGACATACAATAATAATAATAAAAGACAATAGAAAAATGCCTAATTCATACGTATCCTGGCTGAACATCACACCACTAAATAACATGGCGAACTAAAAAGCCACTAAACATTTTCAATAAAGCCGAGCATTCGGAGCAGAAGAAAAATGCTTCTCGCCACATATCTAAGTGTATGAAGACATAAAGCCGTCGGCTGTATTAAAATTCCTTAGGAGTGAACAACCGTTTAATGAAGACCCGAGCACTGTCCCCGGGGCGACAATTGTCCTCTTGCATACAACAAATTGAGATATTTTGTTTTTATTTATGTAAAATGTGATAGATATTTGATTCTAGAAGTGAAGGTGATAATTTCAAGCGAAGCATTCAGTCTATTAGCTCTTTAGCTCTTGTAGTTAATTTTCAAATAAGGTAAACAGATGACAGCCTTAAAAACGATTGCAGCGCCATCTATGGTTTCAAACAAGCCGTCTAAAACGTTCTCGAAAAACATAGACACACCAGTAGTATGCTGCAAATAAATTAGGGACCAGAATATAAATAAGAGTTTTAAAAAGCTTTATAAGTATTTCGATTTCAAAGTTATTAACATTTTTGTGTGACATAATCTCCCAAACACTCCACGCTTAGGGTAACAGGCTCTTGAACACGAGTGTCGCTACATCATAATGTCGCTTTATCTCGAGTAGATATTAGCGGACTATTGACCGACGTATTAACGTGAGAGCTATTTAACCCACAAAGATAGGAAGTGGTCATTTTACATCTAAATGTTTTGTCATTAGTTGGGAATGTTCTAGAAAAAAGGACATTCCTCCTTTATTTAAGGTCTTAGGAACTAAAAATATGTGTGGGAATTCACATTAATGCATCAAATGCAACCATATCAAACAGCAAAAATTTGCCTAACTCCCTCGGACTTCCTAATTCCGGTTGCAACACGCAATGCAACAATGGAAACTGTGCCTAATCAGGTCTTCCTGTACCATGTGGTTCATTATCATCCGACTACTGAGAATTGCAAAGTCAAAGGACCCATTGACGAGACAATAGATGGAGTATCAGTGGTGGCTCTGTTTAGTTTATCAAGCACCGACCGAGGTCTATACAAATGAGCTTTGTCACTGGACCCAGTTATGATAATCTCTTGAACGGGTCGCTTGAGATGCACAGAGAGTAATTATTGGAGATATAGAACAGATAACGAAGCAATAAATGTATGAATATCTCTTTGTGATGATGAAAGGGAAATTGAATCTGAAGTTTATCTAAGGTATGTGGTTGATAAATGTGTTATCTGTAGTAGTAGTATTATGATGAGGACGGCGCCCGAATACCGAAGCTCTACTCAATTTTAAGTTGTATTTTAGTATGGTAAATTCTCTGTCGTTTTACAAAAAATATTGTAGTATCAGAACTATTCTTGAGAACGTCTTAAAACTGGGTGGCGTTTCAGTATTTGAATATGAAGTACTTGCTGAGCTGATATTCAAGCAGAGAAGTCTATGAGACTGCTAAGAGCCTAAGAAAGATGTCCCAGTTTCATCATGGCTCAAAAATTAAGTCAGAACATGACGCCAAAATACTTTTCTTTAAGGAAGAAGAAGTCCGAAATTTTCCCTAACCATCAGAGGTTCTGTCATAAAAATATTGAGAGACTCATAAAGTTTTCCATTTATGCAAAGTTAGACAAAAGGCGCGATAAGCATATACAACTATACATACCTATCGGAAGTTATGAATATTCTGCCATGTGTGAAGGGGCAAGGTTAGTGCTTAGGTTATAAAAATAGGTGATCTAACTGTCAATTGTGTAGGCAGACCAGACGGACATTAAAATAGCCAAGATTGTTATTAGCAACGTTTGTAACGGTTCTTTATTAGTTATCTGTATTAACTCGTCGAGTACCGGTTTTGTAGACACAATTATAGAACAATAGGTTGCGGTCACTGGTGACCGCTTGGTGTTTGACAGTTTAATTGCAATGTTGATTCTGTTTGCTATTGCAATATGTTCAGCCGTATAGGAGATGACAAACATATATTAAACTGCCTTAAGTCTCCCTTATTACCACATCATTATTGTTTCGTTGTATATGTAAATAAAACTGACAGATGGTAAAAAAATAGTCCTGATAAACTCCTTGAAAAAATCGTGAGTTTAGATTTCTTTGTTTTAATAATAAGTATTGACTATCTATCACTTCAAGCAATAACCGACACGTGGTAAACAATAAAACAATTCTATAAATAAATAACACAAAAAACCTAAGTGTACCCAGGAACCATTGTGGTTGTTGACCTTCAAAAAGGTCAGTTTAACTCGCATTGAGCTTCTAAATTAAGTGTATGGGTAGCACGTGGCTTACTCTACGAATAACTATTGTCTATAACTTATTAAGTACAAGTAATTTAACTTGGAAGAACAAAAGCTAACCTTAAAGCTGTAATAAAAAGCTGTTTTTAGAATACCTGCAACCATAGTGAAGTTAATGCTTATTCTATAACAAAATTGTCTTTAAATACTATTAATATAGGCATAGATAGGATACACAGTTGATGCAAAACATAAACGATATCATTGAAGAACTTTAATTATGCGTGAAGTAAACATACCTAGTTCTATAAAACATTTTTTTCTACAATAAAGACTAAAGCAATACATGCATAGCCCAAAACCCATTCAAGTTTTCGTGATTATCAGTCACGCTCAACCAAAAGACAAAGGCAGTAAGGTTAGTAAGCTAAATAAATAATTATTTAAATGAATGGGCAGCGTGCTCCACGTGGTTGAAGTTACAACTGTTCAAAGTACATTTATAACTTGTCCACAAGGTAGGTCTTGCATCATCTTGCGTCACGTTTGCATCATTGTAAAGCCTTTCGATAGATGCCTTATTATACTTACATTGAGTAGACAGACAATAGTGTTCTTAAGTTTCGGGTTTTTTATTAGATTGTAGATATACAGTGATTAATAGGACTTTATTAAGATTTCAAAGATGATGGTGTTCCTAATAGATTATTGATAAAAGTCGATAAAATACATTAAGATCTGCAACAGTGTACGGGGAATCAAGTCGTTCTTTCAATCATGTCAAAGAAGTAAAGCAGTTAGTAAAAAGACAGTTTGTGCATATTGTCATCCAAACTATGTCTATTTTAACAGTTTCATCCCAAAATCGCATATGATTCAACCACTCACCAATCAAAAGAGCCATATTTAGAAAAATACACTAGCAATTTAGCACCAACATTATCAAATTCCAAACCAAATTACAATCTTTATTATTTCCATTGATGAATGAATACGTGCGAATTTCCCCACTTCCCTCGCACAATGCTCAATGGACTCGCCCTTGTATTGAGACGTCGATTAGGGTCGATAAGCGAAAGCAGAGGGGTAAGTCGGCAGATGCACATGTGAATAGTTACGGCGCACCTGGCGCTTTTTGTATCGAATAATACCGATATACTAGTTTTAATGGACATTTTGTTCTGTTTATTGGTGGTACTAGCAGATAGCGCTAGAATTTATACACCGTAATGTTCCATATGATGATGGTAAAGAAGAATATGTTTGTCTTAATAACAGAGGGCTTACTCTTGAAAGTAATTCCAGTGACATTGTACTAAACTTGTTCGAGTTACTTGTACTTTACAAAAAACTTTCTTTTATCCCAAAATGACGCAAACCTTTTCAAATTCATCCAAAAATATTAGTAATGTCATCTAGACAACATGATCTGGCTGTTTAGAATTCACCAGACATACCTACTAACACCAGACACTGGCAGTCAACAATTACGGCTGGCTTAACCCCATACCATTAAACAAACAATCGAGTTAGTCGAGTCGTCTTACTAATTAGTCGGTTGGTACCGCACTAGTGTTTCACATCACTATCCCATTGTTGCCCTGACACACATGAGACCGACAATCAAGCAAGGAGTATCATTACACTTTCATAACCGCCATGATGGTTTCGCAATTTGATCGTCGGAAACGTTGGAGTTATAAATCCAGTGGTCAGTTACTAAGACTCACTGAATTTCTTATGGAATAAAGCTAATCCTGTTTGCTAATCCATTAAATTCATGGCACTATAAAGGACATTATGATGATAATTACGGTAACTGATATTTCGATTATATCGCTAGAGCAATTTTCCGTTTACAAAAACGCTGATGTCAAGACATGTATTATTGTCTAACCGACAAAAAGAGATGGTAGCAGAGAAATCTCTGTCTTAGGGAAAAATAGCCAGGAACTTTTAAGCCACTAGAAAATATAGAAAGAACGGTCGAAGAAAAATGACGAGCTGGAGTTTATACCCAACTATACAAGTATTCGTCAAGACTAAACGATGGATGTCAGTGATCAGAACTCCATAATTCCA